AATGATAGAACCCGAGGGAACGGCAGGAAGATATGCCAGGGGAGGTTTAGGTTGGATATTAGGAAAAGGTTCTTCACCCAAAGGGTAGTGGAGCACTGGAACAAGCTTCCCCGGGAGATAGTCATGGCGCCAAGACTGACAACATTCAAGAAGCAATTGGGCAACGCCCTCAGACATATGGTGTGATTTTTGGGGTTGTCCTATGCAGGGACAGGAGTTGGACTGGATGATCCTTGTGGGTCCCTTCCAACTCAGGATATTCTATGATTCTATCAGAGGTAGTTCTAGTTAGGCACATATCTTTAATTATGCTAGTGACCTTATTTATATATCAGTCAATAAATGTGAATTCTATAAGATAACATAAAAGCTTTAATTTTGGTCTGAATATTTTCACTGTTTATCAAGAGAAAAAGCATAGCTTTTTTTCTCAGAATTGACATGTCCCAAACCATCTGAATGAAACACTATATTGTTCCTTGGCCATGAGAGCAGTGGGCATATATGGTCTGAGCTGGTCACTTTTGTAAGCTCTTGTTTAATATTTACATAGCATCTCTGCCTACATGGGCTTCTGTTTAGTGTGTGGTTTAAGTAATTGAAATAGATTATTAAATTCCAGGTACAGAGAAAGAGAAAAAACCTAACAGTCACTTTGTCACTGGGGAAGGCATTTTCTTTTAAGTGTAATATGTTTTAATGTGTCACTGGCATGATACTGATCTTCATTATGTTTCAAAGGCAAGTACAGAAAACAAGTGGGACAGCAATATAAAGCTGTGTTGTGAAAGATATCTTTCTTAACTGGTGGAGATGGGCACCTGCCTTTGAATGCTGGAAGTTCTATTTTTCTGCTTTTTAGAAAACAGCTTCAGAAATTGTCACAATAACATTAGGCCAAAATTTTTGGTACTGACTTGACTGAAGCACTAGAGATCCCTAGCGTGGAGCTGTATGTTTTTAATTTTTAACTTGTCTTAAGTAACCTTTGTAATTAACATAAATGTGGTCGAGATTTCAGCCTACACATAGGCTGCAGCTTTGTTTATTGTTGCAGTGTAGTTCAGAATAAAGCACTGTAGTTCTTCGTAATAAAATAACCTTGTAGCTTTTTTACAGTCCAGTGCAATTCCCTGTTGTTGGTCAGCTAGGTTGTCAATAATGTAAATGGAGAATAGGTCTAGTGTTCTTTTCTAACACAGGCCAATATGAGCAATTATGTTTACAAGACAAGACACCAGAACTGTCCTGTTCCTTAGTTTCTGTCTCTAATTTCTTCCAAAATCTGGATGGATTACAGCCAGTTTCACACCAGCCACTACATGTTTTCTTCCCAGGCTATTTTTGCACCTTATTTAAAGTGAGATTTGAGGCTTGTGCAATATTGACTCCTTTCCCAAGCCCTGCAGAAGATCCCTGCAAAAAAGGTCCATTGCCTTACTCTGCACTGTGCGTTTCACAGACATTTCTCTTCAAAGGAAAAACTCTGAGGCCAATAATTAGTTGGAAAAATTCACTAACCTCTTTGTATCTGGCAGTATAGTTCCAGTAAATCTGTGTAAGAGGTTGAGACCTAGGGTAATGGTTTCTTGATATTTACAAAATCTGCTGGTGTGGGCGATTACAGGCAGGTGAGAGTGAGAAGATTTGAGAGACTCTCAGCATGCAAGTGGGACAGCCTGATGGGGGACAGTGATTTTTTTCCTTTGACTATTTGTGGCACTCTCATTGCAGAAATGGCTCCGCTACATGCAGAGCAATTACTTAACTTGCTCAGTTTGCAGCCCAGATTATTACAGTGCACTGGCATGGATTTTAGTTACCATAAAATGCTGTTTCAGTGGATCACTGGTGGTTCACGAACAGCTGGCACGGACTGAAACTTCTTTAGCAGTGATTGCTCAGGAATCAGAGCTCTTTGCCTCATGAGTCTTCTGAGAAGTATATAGATTTGTCTTGGGTGGGTACATTGTAAGGTTTCTTTTCCTTGCTTCATTTCACTGTGTAGTAAGTCACAGGTGACATACTAAAGCTGGCGTACTGGTGACAAAAGCTATACCTAACTTGGTCAAATTATATGTACAGTTTAATTGTACGCTGTTCAAGAGACTATGGGTGTGTAAGGCAGTGGTAGTTAGCAACTGGCCTTTATGTAAAGACATCACTAAGGGTATGGTTTGCTGCTTCTGTTCCCACTTATTTTGAAGGAATCTCATTATATTCCCACAGTAACTTTTTGAAGCATGTGTGGATTTTAATTAAAATTTCACTTTCCCTGAATACTTACTTACTCTGTTAACCGAACGTCTCATTTGAATCAAACTGGAACAGATTGCATGGTTTATGTCAGTTGACAGCACTTAATCTAGATTAATTTGTACTGTTCGTCATTTCACTGATGGAAAATAAAAGGTAACATTGTAGGCGTATCAGAGTTTGGCTACAGCATAAAAAACAAAGAACTAACGTTTCCCAAGCATGTGCAAGTACTGTATTACAGAAAGGTCACTGTTTGTTCAGGCTTTGAAGTATGACATCATACATGATGCATGACCTTTGGAAAACACACAAAAATTTTGTGGAAAGAATGGATATTTTAAAACTTGCCTTATTAACTGTATTTCATGTAGGTGTAGTTAAGCGTGTTAGCACAGATGTGCCAGTTAGGTCTCAAGAGCTAGCAGTGCTCGTTGCTTTTCTTTCATGTAAGCCTTGCCTGTTTGTACATCTGTCTCTGTTACTGTTACTTTCTCATGTTATAGCTTGAGACTCTGCAATAAGATTATCTGAAAAGGAACTTGTAAGAGGGATGTGCTCAGATTTGTCATTGAATTCAGTTATACTGATCAATAGTCTGGTTTGGATTTCACATCTAAACCTCCTCCTACCCAACTTTCCTCTCTTACCATAGAACTGCATTTCAGAAAGCTGATCCATCCTGCAGTGTAAACTTAGTGATTTGTTGTTTTACATAGTATATAAAAGCGCATCTTATTTTGGACAAAAAAGATGGAAAGGAGAATCCCATCATCAAGCCACAACCTAAACTGACATTCTGTCTAAATTTCTTTGCCCGCCAGTACTTGGTTTGAAAGTAGATTTTAAGAAATTAAAGAATTTAAGATTTGTACAAGTATGATTTCGCTATCACAGAATCATAGAATGGTTGAGGTTGAAAGAGACTTCTGGAGGAACCTCTTGTCCAACCCCCCTGCTTAAATGCAGGTTAGGTTGCCCAGGACCGTGTCCAGGTGGCTTAAAGAATATAAATAATATACGATTATAAGAATATAAACAGTTAATCCTCATGCTCTCAAGTATTTTTAAAACTACTTTTGTAATTTAAAGAAAAATGCTTATATGTCTTAAGAAGGTATTTCCAAGGCTGAAATTTTGCAGATAATTTAGAACAGATTTTCATTTAAAATAAGTAACACTTTCTAAAGCTGTAAGTATGCATGATGATGTATGGTGTTACTGTGTACCTTAGAAGTCTAGATGAATTTCTTATGGAATATACTTTTCTTAAGATAATTATGCTACATATTTATTGTGAACATCAGCTTGTCCTGAGTTCTTGGTAGTATGAGTGTGTATATATGTATGAGTCTATTAGGATTATACATTATTATCTCATCCACACACACAAACGTATTAGTGTAATTTGTGAATTCACATGTATATGTATATATAGAAAATAAAAAATGACAGATGTCATCTTTGTTGGTTTGCTGATAACATAATAAACACGCTATCAGAGGAAAGTCGTCAGTGGCTCTTACTTGATACAAAGAATTTGTGCTTAGGTGCATACAGGTAACACATTGCTTTTGAAGGCTGCATAGATACAGAAGACACATGGCCCCATGCTAACATGTGTGCATGTGAATATGTATTTTTCAACTTTTTTTTTTTTTTCCTATTTTTTTTTCACTCAGTAGTTTTTCGTGGTTCTTCCTTCTGGAAGCAAGCACGAGCTGTTAATAAGCATAGCTTTTCTGGCTCAGTGTGAGAAGCATGACATAGAAAATACCTCAGTCATACACATGCTAAATGAAGGAAGAATGTGAAGTTAGTGTCTGCTTGTGTTACTATTTTGTGATATTTACTGCTGATAATACCAGATTTACTTTGCAATTTATGTTAACATGTTGAATATTTTTGATGAAGCAAACATCCCTGTTATGTTTTTACATATTTCTTGCATGAAACATCATTAGTATTGTTGAGACATCTGTTAAAATAAACTTTTGTTTTCATTTAGGTTTACGAGTTAGATGGCATCCCCTTGATCCTGGACAACTGCAGCATTGATGACAACAATCCTTGTATCCTTTACTAATTATTGAATATGACTCAGAAGAAAAGGTGTGGGGGTTTAATACATTTATGCCAGCATTGCTTCTACTTGGTATCTAAGTCTGACTGGCCTCATGAGTTTCTAGGTTGTATTTAAATGCTTGATGCAGAAGTGAGCAAACTCACAAATATGTTTTCATGAACTGGATTCTAAGTTGAACTGTGGTTATATTCTGTTTCTTAACATAATAAATATTACCGGTTCACAAATGTCAATTCAGAGAGCAAACTGTGGTAGAAGTCTGAATTAAGACTACGTTTGGTCATTGTATCAGATCTTGGAGCTTTTGCTTCAACTGAAATCTGTTCAGTAGACTGAAATAAGTACCCCATCAATTCTATATGCTTATTAAATCTGACTGGAGAACTTATTCTAAGCACAGAGACAAGGCTAGCAAGCTGTAATGAAAATGTGTATAATTGAGAGAATTAATGATGCAGATTACTGAATTGTTGGGAAGATTTTAATATAAATGGCATTGTATTTCATATTTGGGATTTTTTTTTTCCCTGGGATTTAGGAGCAGAGACTTTACAAGATAGATTGATGTTAGAGGGAAATAACTTTATATTGAACATAAGCACTTGTTAAGCAGACTTATCCATCTCTTCATGAACTGCATAGTAACCCTGCTGGTGTGTTCAGTGGGTTGAGCTATTATTTTCTGTCATCTAATCATTAGCTCCTTATAAGTCGCTGATAAGTGCATCTAGAAATCAAATGCCTTTCCTGTCTAAAGTAATGTCAGCTTTCTTAGACTGAATACATGAAACAGGTTTTTAAAATTAGTTAGAAAAAGCTCACTTTTTAACAAGTACCGTAAAAAAAAAAAAGTTGTGAAAATGTTACATATTTTCATAATTGTGTGCTGTAGAACATCATCTACATATAAATATATGTTAAGGATGAAGTGTTTTGGGAAAAGTGATAGGAAAATGTTAACAAGCTGGGTGGAGGAGCAATGGGTGTTAAGTATCCTGTGAGTTGTTCACTTTGTTGCTTTATATGAAAGGTTTCTACATTCATCACTATTCCTGTAGTTGGAGACTTGACAGTGCACTGAGTAGGAGAGTTGTACTTCCATGGTCCAGTTCTGGTAAGGGGCACTGCTGGATGCGATGGGAAGGGCAGGGAAAGTTACCTTTCCCTAAGCAGAAGCGCAGCCCTGAGAAAACCTAGTAAGGAGTTTTGATCCCAAGTTACTCTTCCATTGCTGGAAAGCCCAGCTGTGCAATGACTTTTAGAATTTCTTTCTAGGATTAATCGTTCATTTCAGCTGTTAGTAAAAGAGGATAAAGTTTGAGGCCTTCAAAGGGTAGAGTGGTAATTTACGATCTTGAATGAAATGAAAATAAAATACCATGGGAGCCTTTACTGCATTTTGGGCAATGTGGAACTTCTTGCACCTTTTGATACAGGCTGACATTTTATGGTTGAACTATAAACTTCTTACCAGAAGATAAAACTTTGCTTACTTGGTTTTAAAGACTTACTAGACACCTCTTAATATGAGATTTCACCACTGATCTGTAGTGTACAGTATTCAGATACATGAAAAAGTAATAGCACTTGGGCAGAGTGGGGACCAGCCTGCTGTGACAAAGTTTGCTGTGTCAGCTGTTGGAGTACAGCTTCTGGCTACTATGTTTATTGTTTTGACCTAGAGCTATTCCAGGTGCTCTTGTGCTACATGAGGTTCATGGTCCCCTGCTTCTCTCCTGGCTCTGTTTCTCATCTGCTATGTTCTCAGCATGTCTTATGCAGGGAAGCAGAAGAGGAGTTTGCAGTTTGTATCTGTCTCTACTTCATCTCCTTTGCAGCATATTCTGCTACTTCTAGACACCGTAAACCAAGTCCTTAGTAGCATGTGGATGCCTGGCTCCATTGCATAACATTCCTCTGAAGAGATTTGACTGTTTCTCTCCTCCCGCTGTGTACCCCATCCTGTTTGGTGCAGATCCATTTTGTGATGCTTGTAAACCAGAGCAGTGCTCTTACTAAGATTTCAAAGCCTACTTGCTTAAAATGGAAACATCCTAAAATTGCCTGCATTGTAACTTTGTGATCTGGAGTGAATATATTTTGTCTCTTTTCTCTTTTCAAGGAAGATTAATTGAAAGGAAGTATTTAGGCAGCTCTTGAGCTGGGTGTTGAGAGAGCTGCTGAAATTCGAATGTGATCACCCAGTGGTACTGCAGTTTGCCAGGGTGATGTAGAAAGCTGCAAGGGACGGCTCGGTGTAGCTCTTCAGCCAGGGTTCCTTTTGGGGAGTCATGTCCAGAAACTTCTCTTTACATTCTTGTTTCTAATGCCTGTTTTTGTGGTTTCAGGCTGTGTTACTTGGATTTCTCCTTGGATAAAGCTGACTGGAAAAAGTTTCATCCAGATTCCTTTTATATAAGAACTTCTTAGATTTCTTAGTAAAGTCTTTGTAGATGCACATTTTTGTTTGAGATTTATCTGTTTCAGAGACACCCAAGCTCTACAGTTAAGATGTTATGTTTTCTACTGAAAACAGAGTTGATATACTGATTTTCTACATTTTAGTAACTAAGTTCTGCCTTCAAATTACACATAGAAAATTTTCCAAAGAAAAATAACTTTTGTGGTAAAAGTGATGGGATTTTTTTTTCAGGATAGAAAAAAACATAATTTCCCTAAAGTATGCAATTCATCAGTAGAAGCTGGACTGCCATGTTAGATGTTAAAAGAGCTCTTTATTGCCTTTGAGAGAAATCCGTTGATAAATCTTTTTATTTGTAGTGTATGGAAGCATACTGAAAGAGGAAATGGGTCTGCTCTTATCCTAAAATAAATTCCTTTGTAGACCTGTCATTACCTTAAAATTGCATCCTTTGAGATCCTGAACAGTTCTGTAATGCGCATAGAAGTATCAGGAGGTTCATCGCTTTTGACGTAGCTAGCTGAAGTTCAACTGACATTGTTGCCTTGCTTTAGCTTTCTAGGTTTGAATTCCTCTTTCAGTTATCTTGTCTAATTACATCTCGGGAAGACTTGTATCTTTTACATTTATACTAACAAATAGTACTTTTTCCTTCAGGATATTTCATGAGTGAAAGCAACAAAAAAACCCTCATTAGTAACAGACATGAAGATGATTATGGACAGTTAAGAATAAATTTTCTTTACCTCTTACAAAGATTATTTGAATTGTTAATTTAAATTTTTGGCTTCTGTAACTTTTCATGGTTTCAAGTAAATTCAGTGGAGAAATGCTGAAAGATGCCAGATTTTCAACTGTTAGCTGTCAGGCTTTTAGCACAGGGGAAAAGGTAAATAGAGTGAGACTTGGGAGATGCAGTTGATTATAGACCTTGGGGTCTGAAGAGTTAAACTTCCGAGAAGGCTAAACGTCATTTTAACTTTTCCTATACCCTTTAAATCTTCCATCTTGAATTGGCTGTATCCTAATCATAACTGTCCTTCTGTATTCAAAAGAAAAAAGGGTATTTCAAAACGCAAGTGGACTTATTTATCTTTAGATTAAGGAGAGGTTCTTTCGTGAGATAAATTTTTGGTTTTGAAAAATTCACTTTTTTGTTCAGCTTCTCAAAAGTTGGGAGTGTTGTGCTTTACTTATGTAACCTGTGTTTAAAAACAAATAAATTAAACTTGCCACAGAATAGCAGAGTGGGTTGGAGATGCCTATCTGGGTAATACCAGTAAAAAATTTACTCCAGATCCTGCTTTTCAGGTTATTCGGGTTGAAAAGGTGTTCTAAATTAAAATATCTTCTATTTTGCTCTCTGAGCCACCATCTTCCTCATCTCTGACAGGCTCTAGTATCAGACAAGAGCCCTTCTTTTTGTTCCTGTCTTTTACCTCATCCTAAGCTCTTGTTGCTCCTTCCAGCTTCATTTCTGACCTTTCACAGATTCCACTTGCTTAAGGCAAACATAAGGAGGGAGGCCAGCCCATTCTGATCAAAAGACTATTGACCCTAATCATACAAAAAAGGTGCTTATGAAAGACTTGAAATAAACTTAAACGGTTTATTATTGAAGGCTTTTCAGTTTACCTTAACTAAATTGTCTGGTTTTTCTACTCCTTCCTAACTTTTAGGCTTATGAGTAACACACAAAGATGTACCCTCTGTCTCTCTCTCTCTGTGTCTCTCTCTCTGTCTCTCTCTCTCTGTCTCTCTCTCTCTGTCTCTCTCTCTCTGTCTCTCTCTCTCTGTCTCTCTCTCTTTTTAATTTAATGGCTGTCCTTAAAAATATTTATTACTATTTTAGGAAAAAACGTAATATCCAAAGTACTACAACATAACAGCTGTTAGTTAAACTAGTGAAACTTGAAAATCAGAAGTGAAATGCAGTTTTGAACATGGAATATTCTTGTTTTTTCAGGATGCTTGCCAATCTTACCCTTTTGAGATTCTTATAGTAAGTGTCTTGATAAATTGATTTTGTGAATGTCTGAATTTAATTGGAATGACCATGTAAGTGTCCATATAATATTAACCCCTAATCAGGCATGTTTTTCTGTTAGCCAGAAGTGCAGTCATATTGAAGAAAAAATATCCTGCTGTGTGGTGTATGTGTATGTACACATAGATATAAATGTTTATACATATGAGTAAACACCCAACTGGCTGTTTTAGGAGTAAGAATTTTCAGCATTTGTGAAAGGAAAACATGTGGTTGCTGTGGATTTCCATACATAGGCCCCTTAGTTTGAATAATGGATGAAAATGTAGAAAATGTAAGTTAATTTTCAGATACTCCTTCCCCAAACTTCTGTTATATTCAGTCTGAAAGTCATCTGAGAGGTAGATTGAAAATACTTTTGACTCCATGGCAGCAGCAAGTATAATTGTGGTTCATGAAACTTCTGGCTAAAGCTAGAAGAAATCAAGTTGCTATGGTCTACAACAATGGCAGTTTGTTTTTGTGAGATGCCAGCAAAGAGTTTTGGGGGAGCTGACAGACATTTTATTTCTAAGTT